GGCTTTTTAATTAGGGGTGGAGGGAGATGGACCTCAATTCAGGACTGTACGAGGGAGTCCTGTTTTTTCAAGCAAGAATTCTCAAAGAGCAGTTGCTGCTGCGAACGAAAAGCAGCTTTTAACCCCAAGCGTGATGCCACGAATGTCACTATTTCCATCCGAGCCACCACCGCAATCCTTGCACGCCGGCGAGAAAGAGGAAGCGGGAAGAAAAAAATAAATAAATACCACCCCCCCCCCAAGCAGCCGGAGCTTGCAAAGGGCAACGTTGCAATGAGGGTCATACTCCTGACCCTCTAAAACTCTCGGGAAACTCCTTCGCAGCCACGGGGGGAGGACCCCGTCACAGGAGCAGCCCCACTGGCAGGAAAATGATGGGACGGCTGCAAAAAGGCACAAGGGGGGGATTGACAGCAAGGGTCCGTCCCACCGCTCGCCTTAAAGCTCTCGCCTAGCCGAGCTCTGGGGTTGCAGCCACTGCTCGCCATTCCCTCAACTCGGAGTACGGAGCGCATGCAAAACCCTGCCATGTGGGACTCCCAGCAAACCTCTCGCATATTCCCCCCCCCCCGCTCGCTCCGTCTTACCAGATTTTGGGGGGTATCTGTAGAGGGAATTGGACGGGACATCCACCTCTTCCACTCTGGCGTTCTGCCAGCTGGTGAGCGCTCCTATGCTTCAGGCGCGGCAGCAGAGGGTATACGGGGTTGCGGGGGGGGCAGAGAGGAGGGGCGTGCATCAGCTTCCCAGTTTGCGGCAGATCTTTTCTAGCTGGCGCAAAGGACTTCCCTGGACTTGCTTTGCTGAGCTGGGCTTTGTAGAAAGGAAAGCAACTTCAGAGCTGGCGTTGGGCCAGCAAAGGCTTCATACTGATGGCTACGCTTTGGAAACGCGGATCTCCAATGCCAGGTCCACGCCAGGAGGTTTACCTTTCTCTGCTGCTTCTCTACCAGGCTGGAGCCGAGAGGAGATCTCTGTCCTAGTCTTCCTGCTGCCCTCGTGGCACGGGGAAAACGGACGGTACTTTGTCCCTTCTGTCTCCCCGTTGCTCAGAAAAGCAACTCCGGGAAGGTCCTTTGGTGGCGGCAGGTGTCCTAGAACCTGCCTGCTAGCAAAGGCCCTTCCCAGAGTTGTTTTTCTGAGCAACGGGGAAACAGAAGGGACAAAATACCATCCGGCCAGGACGGGTATATAGGGATGGGGGCGGGGCAGGCTTACTTCCAGGTCCGGTCACAAAAATCGGGACTTTTTAAGAATGCCCCGGGACGCGGGACAAATTGTGCAAAACCGTGACTGTCCCGTGAAAATCGGGACGTCTGGTCACCTTATTGTAGTAGCATATGGTAGACATAATGTAACTAGGAATAAAAATTAGGGGGAGATATGATGAATAGTGTTAGTTTATAATAAATGGACTATGCTTTTTTTCTTATTTATTTGGCTTAATATTTATTACTTTTTCTGCACTCCATATAACAGTACTTACCCTAAAAGGGAACAGCATGAAAAGTATGTATGTATGTATGTTTATCTCATTATATACAATATTACTATATTAATTAAACAGGGAGGAAAGTATGCATGGCATTCATTCAAAGGTATGAAGCATGAACATACCGTATTTATAAAACAAAAGATTAGCAAAATATAGATATATTACAAATATATATTAAATTGAGAATTTAATATGAACTGTTAATACAATGCAGACATTTCATTCGGGTAGGTTCAGCTAAGCTTTAATTTATTTAAATAGTAATAGTGTAATCTGATCTATATGTATTTGAATGCCTGCTAGATATAAGAGAAAGTTATTCCGAAAAAATGCATATAGGATTTTAGACATGTGAAAAGCAAATTATTTTAGAGCAGTTGTCATATATTGCTGAAAGCAAATTATACTTAACGTATCTCTTTCTATAAACAATTTGTTAGCATCTAGGTGTAGTGAGGCCAATTTTCATTTTTTTTTAAAGCAACTTGACTGTAACACAATTGCACAAATGAAAGCTGCATTGAAAAGTTCGAGCTCACTAGCAAGAGCAGCCTAACCGGAAAAGCATCTTTACATTACTGAAAACATATTTGATTGTTAGAGAGATAGTCAGTTCCATTTAAATTGTCTTCTTGTTGTTAACAATATCAGTCAAAAAGTATGGGGGAATGGTTCAGTACTTTCTTGTAATTCAGTACAAAGTTACAAACAAATAACAATCTTTTGCATTTTAAAGCCTTTGGAGGAAAAAGATACTACTTAAATTGGCCCTATTCTTCCAGTAAGAATTGAGGACAGATTTGTAGTTGCAAAACAACCTTATAAAGTAGAATAATATGAGAACATGAGTGATCTTCCCACTATAAAGTTGGTAGACTAAAATGTGAAATGTACATTATTCAAACACGGTTCATAATCAACTTTTGTGGTGGGTTTGGAGTCCCAGGAGAGAGGGGCTGCATTCCAGAGAGTAAAGAAATAGTGAATAATTTGCAAGATTCTTTATTATTCAAAATATTCACAGCCCTTTTAGCTATCTTCTTAAATCAAGGATGCAAAAAATATGAAACATAGTTGTGTTTGGCTCCCTGTTCTCCTTTTTGTGGTTTACCAAATGTAGGTAGCCAAAATAAGGAAGACTGTTTCAGTAATCTTTGGAACTTTGTAAAAATGCATGCCTTAAATCTCACAGAGACTTACATTACATAGTTCATCTCTTAAAATCCCAGATCCTCCTACAGAAACTGGTGTGGCCATGACTAGTGCATCTGTACTAAGTAACATAGCTACTTGATTGAAGGAGCATAAGTAAAGTTTCACTGATATAAATATGGCTATGAAATGCCAACTGACTTTGAGTTAGTTCAGCCTCCAGGGTCAAATGGAGCACAACTCGAGTTCTGAAGGTGTGGCCAAACCAGTACTGCCTTTACAAAATCCCTGCTATATGAAATGTAACACTGGAGAAGGAAAATATTTTCTAAAAATGGAGAAGGGAGGATTTGGAGAGCTACAGATTAGAAGGTACAACAGTGATACTTGGGAAAATTCTACAGCAAGTCATAAAATGATTTATCTTTAAGTATGTGGAAATACTGAAACTAGAAATAATCATGTCTGTACAAAGACAAGTCCTTGCCAAACTGAACTTACTTCTTTTTCAATCAGGCAATTTCTTGGGCAACTATGAGAATGCTGTGGATGTAACCTACCTTGATTTCAACAAGGTATTTGACATAGTACCCCAAAATGCTCTGATTAGCAAGCAGCATGGTATACCTATTATAGAGTTACAGTGAAGTTAGAAATGTTTCCAAAATAGTACTAATGGATTCCAATCAAATGTGTATGTATACACACACACACACACACACACACACACACACACNGCCCATCCGCCTGCTCACTCACTACGCTACCCCGCCCACGCGAGCGGCAGCGGATGGGCGGGGGAGCGAGTTGAAGAAGGCACCAAAATTAAGCGGGATCTTTTGGAAATGGCACGGGACACGGGAAAAATTATGAAAAGGAGTGCCTGTCCCGCCAAATGCGGGACGTCTGGTCACCCTAATTTACATGTCCCACTCAGCTGTATATTTTCACCATGTGGTTTTGAAAATGGCCATATACAGGCTAGAAGTAGCCGTTTTTGCTATGACAAGGATGTTCTTTTTAATCACCACAGTTTATATCTGTGTAAATGTAGTTTGCACATTTTATATGGATGAGTCAGTCCACATAGATAACAACTAGTCTTTGGTGATTCTTTAAGCTACTATGTATACTGAAATAAGAATAGGCAAAATACGTAGTTTTTCAAAAATTAAAGAAAACATGCAGAAGTAGCCACATGAAAATATTCTATGTAAGTAATATAAATTGGTTTAGAGTCATTAACTTATACAATAATCTGTATCCAATAATGGTGTTGGTGAAATAGCTGTTTCTTCACTTTGCTTTACACATTTTTAAAAACCTCCAAAATTATCAAAAGTAAAGGAACACTGAAGGAAGCAAGAATCTTCAGGAGTTATTTTGCTCTGAGATTGTCATTCAAGAGATATATAAGTTGGAAACAAAATGAAAGAAAACAAAATAAGGACATTATGAGCTCAGAAGGAACCACAGAAATGTCATACCCGGTCAATACCAATGCAGGAAAATCTGCTTCACATTCAAGTCATCATTTAACAGTTTTTAAAACAAAGAACTTCATTTTATTGAAATACAATATTGTCAAACAGATATATTATCAGGAACCTTTTTCAACTATATCCATGAAGTGAAAAATATTGTCTGTGTCAATATCCATCACTGTAGTACAATTGTTTCTCAACTGAATAACTAAATCTCTCATCAAGCTGGCCATTAAGCCTTTCAGGGTGTATCTTCCCTCTTTCTGTGATCATATTATTTTCTTATTCTCAAAATAATAAGATATTAATTGCTAAAATTAGGAGGTTTTAAATAAACCTGCCCTATATTTTTTAATTTTGCATGGAAATATAATTCAAACAATGAGGATCAGGATGCTGTATTTTTTTAAAGAAACAAGTTCTAGTGGTGAAAGGGATATTTTATATGGCTAAGACGTTTGCCTAAGATGCAATACAGCACAGGTTCGAATCCCAGTAAGGGTATGGCTAGCTGATGAGAGCTAAATAGCTTGAAATAGATCTATACTATACGCTCCAGCCCTGCCTGCCGGCACGCTAAAGTACCAGCATGACTTTGAAGTGCTGGCTTGCTGCTTGCCTTCCACGTCGGCCCGCGCGGAAGGCAATCCAGCCCTTCAAAGTCATGCCGGCACTTTAGAAATTTTTTTTTTTTTCGCAAAAAAAAAAAAAAAAAAAA